TAGAGTCTTGAAGATAACAAGTAGATTGATTGGTGGGAAATTACACCAGGTAGAAAGAAATGGCATTAGCAGCCTGGAGAAAAGTGAGAGAATTTTAAAAATAGGGATTATTTTTAAGTAGTGAAATACGTTGCATCTACATGTGTAGTGGCTATTCAGTTAGGTTCGGCTGGGTATGATATTCCTTGATTGCCAGGCAAAAAGTATAAACTTTATAAGGTAAGCAAGAGGAAGCTACATGATTAAAAGAATGACTTTCTCAATTGAGCACTTTAAGACTTTGGATTTAAAAGTGTAAGAGCAAGATGTTTGAAGAGAAAATATTTAGAGGCTAAGAATCCAGATAGAGGAAGTCACAATCTAGGCATGAGATGACAAGAACCTGATCCATGGTAGAAAGAGTGGGTATGAAAAGGCCCTAAGAAATATTTCAAAGGAAATATCAAGTGAGACAATGGTTAGATGACAAGGAAAAATATACCTTTGAAATTCAGTGTTTGAAACCTAGGATAACAGTGGAACCACTAATAAAATCAGAGAAAGGGAACAGAGAAGCTATGAAAGATAGTGTTGTTGTTCTCAGTTTTTGTTCTCCCTCATGTACTGGAGTTTATACTACTTGTTTTTCCAGAACTCCCTCTGAGGGTAGATAATACTTCCCACCCTGTTGACGTGTTTTTTCAACATGTAGTGCTGGAAAAGTTTGATATCCACATAGTCGTTTTGTTTAAGAATAAGATATTTAACTCTTTATTCCACACAGAAGATATTGAAATAGATGATATGTCTAAAGATAATAGCTAAAGTCAATAAGGCTCTTCTAGAAAATCTAGAAGACTATCTTTATTACCTTAGTAAAAGACTAAAGATTTACATCAACTAAAGAAACCAGAATATCTTCATTACCTTAGATTCTCACAGATTTTTTCAACAGAACACACAAAAATACCAACAATAAAAAATCGATAATTTCGACTTCATCAAAATTTAAACTTCTACATATTAAAAAAATCATTAGAAAATTAATAGACAACATAGACTGGTGAAAATATTCACAATGCAAGATATTTGACAAAGGACTTATGTATGCCTAGAATATATAAATAACTTTTCAGCTCTAAAAACAATATAATAAAAATAGGTAAAATATATGAACAGAATATTAAGCATGGAAAATGAGCATATTTAAAGATGTTAAACATTATTAGTCAGTACAACAATGTAAAAAAGACCACCATAAGATATCTCTTTAAATTTTCAAGAAAGAAAATTAAAAAGACCAACAACACAAAATATTGGTAAGGATATGAAGCAACTGGAACTCTTACATATTGCTTCTTGGAGACCTGTTTGACCTAACAATTTTCACTGAAAGAACTAGAAATACATATCTAGAAAAATCTTGTACATATACATCTTTATTTATGACAGTACAAAATGTAAACGACCCACATACCCACCATCAGTGATACCAATATTGCTAATATAATATTGAACAAAATAAGAAAGACAAAATATAGTTTCTGTGTAGTAGCAAATGGCTTATGGACATAAGTGCTGGAAAAGAAAAGAAGAAAAGCAGCATTGAGCAAAGTAAGTCCTCAAAGGATGACACAAATCTGACAGTTTCTACCAGCCCAGTGCAGCGGGGAACTCTGGAGTAAAGACTGACAGTCCTGCTTTGAGTAGATTGACTGGGGATTGCTAAAAATACTGTGGCTTTGGCTCAAAAGTGGAAACAGGCCATGCAGAAGCTCACAACTAGAAGCTGGCAGCTAACTCCATTTCTTGCAGCTGGCAGGGAGTCCTTTCTGGAAGTGGCATTTAAGAAATATAGCTCCATGATTTTCACCCTGTAAGGTTTAAATTATACAAATTTCAAAACTACCCTATGGTATGAGTTATCATGATGGTGGTTATCTTTGGGAAACGGAAAGACGTTAGTGGTTAGGAAGGGTCATGAGAGTGGTTTCTGTGGCACTGGTAAGGTTCCATTTCTTAACCTAAATGCAACTTATGTAGATGTGCTTATTTTATGATATTCCATCAGGCTATATACTTATGATTTGTGCATTTTGTATTTGTACATTTAATTATGAGAATAATTTCAATAATTTCAGTAATGAGGATGTAAATCAGGTGATGTTTTGAAGAACAAGTGAGTGGTGGAAAAAATTTGTGCCATATTCATATATATGTGTGTGTGTATATATATATGTGTATTTTTAGAGAAGCATCACATATAGAAAGAAGCTTTTGTTATACTTTAATGAAAGACAAAATACTCATTAAAATCTGCTATTATAATATCTAAACATTTTTTTTTAAAGTGTTGGATTAGTGAAGTCTAATGAGCTGTTTATTATCTAATAAAATTTGTAATTTAATGAACTTGAAACATAGAAATAGCCTATAAATCCAATCTCTGCATTCTTGCAATATATTTTATCTTTCCATAAGCAAATCTTATTTGTCTTCCTCAAATTTCTATTTTGAAAGCTAATATAAATGAGATCTTACTAATTAAATGCTACTACACAGTAAATGTTTGTTGAATTGAATTAAATCATCCAATATAGACTAACACCAGAAATTTCAATTATATAATTTCTCCAGTATCTAGAAGCCATAATATGCAAAAATTAATGCATTTATTTCCAACACATATAGAATATACACACAAACACATTTTTTGATAAAGCTACCATACTTATGGCACTCTTCTAGTTCATAGGGGGAAAAAATGACTAAAACACAATCCTTATCATTAAGGAACTAAAATTCCAGTACAGGAAAACACTCTCTTATAATTAATTATAATGCAATATGAGCATTATGCTACTAATAAAAACAGAGGATGTGGAACCGCTTGGGCAGTACCGCTTGGGCTGAGCAGAGTATGCCGGTAAAGAAGGAATAATTGGAGATATAAGAAAGGCAGTAAGAAAGTCCTCTTATTTTTCCTCTGAAAGGAGATGCACGTAGGGAAGGATGAGTAAATATGTAGATAGATTTAGAAGTAGAGGGACTGATTTCACAAGTAAACTTGGCTAAGAAGTGTCAGGAGACAAAAGCAGAAAATGACACACCAACATTTTGTAGAAATGAGTCTGAACCTAGAGTCTCAGAAACAAACACATCCTAAAACACATCCATAAAGCAGTCATTGCCAGAGTTTGACTGATTGCCCTACCTGGATAACTTGCCTCAAAATACCCTAGACTGACTCAATTTATCTTGTACCGTCTCCCATTTGCAATTCTCTTCCTTTTTCTATCTCTTTCTCCCTCTTACTCTTGACACAGGAAGCATGCTTTTCTTCTTCTAGAGCTGCCTCGTTGGCACACTCTGCCCCAACAGGACAGTGGCTCTTTTCTGAAGAGAGTTTTCTGGAAAAGGAGAGAGTCCCTCCCCAGCCTCCATCATCCTTTACGGCCTCTTTCTCCTTCCTGAATCATTTTCACAAAATATGACAACTCTTACATTGAGTCAGACTTGGTGGTAATAATAAAAACAATACAAATGTAATAATCACAACAGCCATCTTTGCAATTGTGAGACTGAGGCACAGAAAGTACATCTAAGTTAACTTGCACAGTCTCACAGGTAGTAAGTGGCGATGAAAGTGTCCAAACCCAGTGGTTTTATTCTTTAAAAAAAAAAAGTCCATGCTTTTACTATGACATCTTTAATCCTAGCAAGAACTGACCAAAGAGGACAACTTGAGAAAATTGATTTAACATTTTCAGATACAATTCTCTCAGCAAAATTGAGCTAAAGACTTTGGATATGTACACTGAATTTTCAAAGAACATGCAGTGGGCTTGTTTTGAGAATTTGCAACTAAATAGCTCATGACTAATTTCAAATCAATCAAACTTTTCTCCAAAGAAAATCAAGTGAAGGTTAGCTGCACCCAAACTTTCCAACATGACTCTTCTTACCGTCTTCAGGAATCCACACCATTGTACACAGGATTTACTATCTTTAAATATGGAGCAGTGGGCAAGTGGGCAAATGAAAGTACAAATGATTTTTATTAATGAACGTTGTCTCTAAAGCTCAAGTGTACCAGAGAAAATCAGTTTTTACTCTAATTTTTATTTTATTGCATTTTAAAATGTTGGGCATATTTTATTACTGTGTTAATTTAGAAATCTCAAAACAACGGAAGGCTAAGAAAAATAAAATTTCTCTATAAGGAAAAAAGTATGTAACTATATTTTAGTAATCATGTTTTTAATTATAACATACAGAGTTGTAGGTATAGTGGCCATGCTATATAAAACAAGTCATGTTAATATTTCATTTTCATTAATGATACACTTATAGATGATTAATAAGATAATCCTGTCTTAAAATTCTGCATTAATATATAATAAAAAATAACAATAATAATAGCTAACACCTAAGACTCTGCCTCTTCTTGTATGTTACTTGCATATTATAAGGTTATATAAGACTAATCTTTCCCAAGTTCTCTAGAATTAGAAGAATGAGCATTTTGAGACAAGATAATCCTTAGGCAAAATGACTAGTGGATAACTTGATCACCAACTCTTATTCTTGAAACCATGTGGTAGAATTGTATTCCAAGTTCTGTCTAGATCAATGGCCCTTAAACTCTCTGTGCATTTTCACATAGGATGTTCGTTTCAAATGCATCTTCATGGACAGTATCCTAAATGTTTCTACATCAATAAAGCTAAAATTGCACACAAATCTGCACTTAAATCCCCTCTGGAAATTCTGTTACCTTTGGTTCAGGGATAACACTTTGAAAAGTGTATGTTTAGACTGTCTACTTAGAAGTACTGGAACCATGAAGAGTAGGAAACTGAATCCAAAACTCCTCTAAGGATTAGCTTTCCAGAAGGTATCAAATTTTTCCTGCCCATTTCACCTTGTAAACTTCTCCACTTCTCTCCATTCTCTCCGAGGCATTGATCTTATCCATTTAATCCTCTATAATAATTTTCTTTTTTAATTTTTGTTTTAAGAGATAGAGTCTCACTATGGGCCCATGCTGGCCTCGAACTCTCGAGCTTAAGTGATCTCTGTCTCAGCCTCCAGAGTAGCTGGCACTACAGGCATGAACCACCACACCGGGCTTACTGTCATTATCTCTAATGTGAAGGCCACGCCATCTCAGGTACCTAAGCTGATTCATTGCACCTTTACAAGAAAATATTATAACTTTTTATTGATATGTATTTGTATCTGAAAAATAGAAATAAAGCCTTAATAGTATTTAAAATTTGGAATTAATATGACTAATTATATTCAATCCTTAAGTCATTTATTTGAATGTTACATAAGATACAAAAGGTATCCTGAGGTAAGACTGGGAATTCTACAACAAAAGGTAGTTTATTACTAAGGCACCCAAACTTGTCCGGTCCCTATTAGTATGCTGCAATGTACCGTAATTGACCTATGCCTGGTTACATGAACCTACAATTTATGTCATTAAGTTTTAGTCTTCAAAAAGTGAAAAATTAGATTTTAAAATACTCTTAAAAATTTGAATTAAAGTCATACTACATTAATTTATGTCATTAAGTTTTAGACTTCAAAAAGTGAAAAATTAGATTTTAAAATACTCTTAAAAATTTGAATTAAAGTCATGCTACACTATAAGTAGGCAATAAGAAAGTATCAGAACAGAAAATTCTAAACCTGGCTTTTTCTTAGCTGGGTTACCACATACAAGCAACAATGATCTAATCAAATTTGACAAGAAATCAGATAAAAATTTGAAATTACGGTATTATTAACAATAAACTTTGACCTCAGTGTGCATAGTGCCTTGAGTTACTGACGAATAAAGTACAGCTATATAATTTATAGATAAATATATTTACATGAATTAGAGATAGGTACTCATCATGTCTTCCTGAAAAGGGTGAATTTTCAAAATGTTTGGTCCTTCAACTGTTTGGTCTACACCAGAGTGACCTTAGTAAAACACACAAGGATGACTTCATCTTAAACTCTTCAGTGGCCTTCTGCCACCTTTAACACAAATTACAAAGCCTTCTCAGTCTGGCACCCTAGTGGACTCATCTTGGGTTGCTCTCCAGATACACTGGACTTAGCTCTGTGAAACTTGCCTGGCTCTCTCTACTAGGGGTTTGCCCACAATGTCCCTTCTCTGCCTGTGACGCTTTTTCTATGACTCCTTTCCCTATTGGCCTGGCTAGTTTCTTCTGAGCAGTCTCCATTAAGGTTATAACTAAAAAATAATAATAATAATAATTTTAGTGGATGTTTCCAACACATTTAACCAAAGGGAGCCACCGCCACCTCCCATCATGTGTCTTCTTGGACTACTCTGTGTTTTCACTCATAAACCAATCATACTTTACTGAAATTACTAGTTAAATTTTTTAGTTTCCCCGGGAGTCAGTATAAATTGAGGTCAGGGGCTAGGCATCTCTTGCTCACTGCTGCATTCCAGCCATCGCCTACAATAATGGCTAGTTATTTAATTTTTTTTTTTTAAAGAAGGCTTTAGAATGTCATTTAGGAAAATAAAGGCAAGAGCAAATATCATATGTCTTTAATTATCTCCCTAAAAACTTAAGTCATCAGGAAGTGTAACAGAAGTGCCTGTGGTTTAAATGGGGCCACTAATCTGGGTTACTCAGTAGAGTAACTCCTAGGAATAAGTCAGTATATTTACTTACGGCTGATGGAAAATATATAAAGATCCAATACTCTTGGGGAACTTTGAGAATTGTGAATGTCAATAACAAACAAAATCACTAAATTCCATACAGAAAATGAAAGTGCTACGGCAAAGGTAATAGGCTGTTGTCCTGCTGCCAATAAAATATATTGACATTCTGACTCATTCAACCTTTCAAATATACTGTATAAAGAGCTGCAGGTTTGGGGATGAGCCAATTGGTTTTAAAAGAAGAAAATTGTGCCAACGATAAAGTTCCTGTGACTGAGCACTGGTGGTAGGAATTATAGGGAGACATCAACAGGGCAAGGACATTCTCTAAGGCAAAGAATCTAAAGAAATTTCTCCGTTTGCATAAGCAACTATGAAGCTTAAATAATTCAGCTAAAATGTTTTTAATCCTTGTGGTAAAGTTTATAATGATTTACTATAATTAAGACATAAGAAATGACAAAATCAGAATGTACTCAGATATCATTGACTATTGTCTGTCCTACTTAGTGAAATAGGACAGCCTACCCGATACAGTGGAGGTTAGTAAGGAGGAAAAGCAAATTGTATGATGAAGAAGCATTAAAAAAATTAACCTACTTTGTCCAAACATTTTCTTTCACTTATACCTATTAACCACTGTCTGTAGGTATGGGTGACTTTTCTTTTTACCATTTTCAATTTAATTTATTTTGTTATTAATATATAATAGCTGTACATATTTTTTAGTTCATGTGATATTTTGATAACTCTGTACAATATGTAATGATCAAAACAGGATAATTGGGATATACATAATTGAATATACTATATTCATCTTCTAGGTTTTTCCTATTGATAGCATTTGACATACATTTTGTGTGATTTAGTACCTAGGTATATGATGTAGTAGAATTATATTTATACATATTTTTACTGCACCAGCTATATAATAGCAGACATATTTAAAATAATGATTTATATAGCAATCATATAAGTGTTCAATCATGAATATGATGAAAGAGCCATGATATTTTTGTAATTTCATTTATATTAATAATATGCCTTTATTAACTTTGATGTATTACTACTTGAGACATAGCTCCTGAATAGTTACTGTGATAGATTGGTTTATGCTAAAAACTTTTTAATGAAATTGCTCCTTAGAATGGAAAAATGTGGTTTATTTTGAGAGTGATCCTGTTTAGTATTATCATCTAAGAAAGGTTGGAGTGAAATTAACTCGTCCGTGGTTCATGAATTCTTTCTGGCCTCTACCGTCACCTCTCATAAAGAAACGTCAAAGAGAAAACAAGCTGTGTAACCCCACTGGTGATCACTATGAAATACAGTAGATACCGATATTAAAATAAAAAAAAATACTTGTCTATTTCTCATTCTGTCGTTTCAGTCTTTAATTTGTCATCATGAACATTGAAAAGGTGAGTGAAAGATTTATATCAGTCAAACCTTAATCCCAAATGCCTATATAATTTTTGCATGCCTTTACCTTTACAAGGTATTTGGTCTTAGGATAGCTAAACACTTTGACTATTACTGATATACTTTCAACGTTTTTAGTTGATACTGGTAAGGCAATGACAGATGTAGGGTGAGTATAATTATGAGTCATATCTGAGAAACAGCTTTCGTAAAAACAAAGAAGAACTTACATATGAGTGAAGACACACAGAAGGGAGCTGGTGTTTTGATTTTCACTTTGCATAGTAGAAAGTGCACTGAAGGGTATTCTCTTACTGCTAATGGTCAGTTCTTTCTACAGCTATGATTTATTTTACTAGAAGCTGGAACAGGTGTGGTTTATCTTTGCCAAAGTCTTCCAGAAGTTCATACCTGCTCTAGGCTTCAGGTTGCAGATCTGTTTAGTGAGATTGTTGAATAGCATGCAATCCAAGAACTTCTATCTTATTACACGGACAGAATATTGATTTACTGTGAAAGGCTTTATCCGAAAATCTAGTTTTACATTTTGAATTTGGAAAAATTAAACTTAAATAATTTGAGGGATATTGGTAAGAAGTTTCATCTTAAGAAAACTTTCTTCTTTGAAAAATTTCAAACTAAATGGGCACTAAAGTTTATGCATATACATAAACTGAACTAATTTATTTCTCAAAAATAAATGTCAGTGCTGGCCAAGGACCAAACACAGTATTTTTCATAACTTGGAATATTAATGGTTATAATTAAAGTTAACAGTGAGGAAATCAAGAGGTCAAGAGGAAAGTGTTATTTTGCTGTTTGAAATACAACATTTTTGCCATGAACTCTATGAAAAATAAATATAAGTAGAGCAAAGGGAAAAAATTAAGAGTTTCCACATTCCAATTAAATATAGGGCTTTCACCTTAGGTCAGATACCATTTACTGAAAATACCTGACTTTATAAAAGAAGCCTTATAATTGCCTTATTTCCTTTGAAAAATATACAGCATTGTGCCAGGCAGGTACATTTGTGGTGTTGCTGGTGTGACCAGTTCATTTGCAGGGGCTGTTGAATGTCATGTGCACCACTTAGGAACGATCACATTTTTAAGATGGCAGAAAAATAACTGCAGCAGATCAGTTTGCTGACCCGGACTGCTATAAACGGCTACATGAAATGAGAATAGGTAGATCAACACAGCTCAGGTTCCGAAGTGAAATTTTATCTTATTTCTGGCACCGTGCATGCTAACCTGATCCTTATCTGTCTAAGAAAAAACATTCCTCTGTAACAGGCTGGCATAACGCTTTACGATTTCCACATACCTCTTAAAAATTATGAAAGAACCATTGTATTAAAACCTGGGACAAACAGGATATTTAAGGCCTGCTAGTGTGATCAAGTTAATCTGTAAATTTCACTTTGTTTTAGAAATCTCTGAGGAAAAAAATTGCTCACTGCTCTTTATATTTTTCGAATCCCTCTCCCCCCCCTTTCAGGCAGACAAAACCATGAAATAGGGGGAAGAATGAAGAGAATATTATTAGAACATATTTATTCTGTTGTTGTATACTGATGAATCCTAGCCTGGAAGTCCTAGAGATTTTGTTTTTAGTCCTTTTTTCCCCACTAATGAGCTGTGTGTTCTTGGCTATTTGTTGTTGAGAAAGGTACGTGTCTTCATTTGGGTTTCCAATGACCAAAGGACCTCTGAACCCTCTTTTAGTGCTAAACCTCCTTGCAAATATGTTTGAAATTTTCTCCATTTTTTAATTATCTGAATTTTTAAAATCTTAAATATTTGCATCTCCATATTCATTCTAAATTTAGAGGAAAAATAAGCAATGTATGTAGTGGATATAATGCCATCTTTGGAATTATAACACGATGTCATTAATGCTATATCCTGAACCAACTACTTATCTTCTGAAAGCATATTCTCCAGATGAAAAATGAAAATTTATGATACTTGGAGGCAATATTCATAGGCTTAAAAGAGATAAATGAGGGATCTAGTTTATAATTTACATAAGGAGTGATAAATAATAAAACAAATACATCTGGACTCACCATCAACTTACAAAATGGAACATTTCCAATGCCTATGAAACCTTTTTGTGCTCCTCAAGAATTATAGCTCTCTTGCTCCTATACAATGGTAACCACTACTATGAACTTTTTTGTTTATGAGTCTTTGCTTTTTGTTATTTTTTTTACTAAATATATATCGCTAAACAATATGATTTCAAGTTCTATACATACAGGGAATTTATATAATTCGCATACCAAATCTGTATATCTGCAGCTTCCTTTATGCACTTTGTCTTTGAGATTTACTTTTGCTGATGCAGTGATAGAGTAATAATAATAGTACTTGCCAATCTTTTCTTGGTAGATATTGAGGTTGTTTCAGTTTGGGCCTTTTGTAAACAATATGGTTTCAAACATCCTTGTATGTGTCTCCAGGCCTACAAGAGTTTCTCTTTGGATATACTTCTGAGTGGAGCTGCTGCACCATTGAGCATGTGCATTTTCAGCTTTGCAAGATACTAAATTGTTTTCCAAAGTAGGCATGCAAATATATACTCCCACCAATGTCTGTAAAAAATGAATTATTTGTTTATTCAAAAGAAGAAGAAACGCCTTTCTGGCGTTTTTGGAGGAAATTCTTGGAATATTTTTTGAAATTCTTTCCATAACATTAGCTAATTATGTTTTGTTTTGCTTTGTTTTACTTCTCGAGAAAATTTTCGGCATATATACTGACAAAGAAAAGCATCAGTGTTATCTAACAATAATTTTTTCGGAATAGAGATAAAATCAAATTCTTTTTTAAAAAATCAAATATATTTGTAATGATCTAATAGTTCTGGGTATTTATAAGAAAGTTGTGCTTACAGCACAATGAATCCTATGAACGTGGCCATGATGAAGAGCTGGAGAAGAGAGAGTAGTTACTCCTCTCTTCTCACTCCACCCTCTATTAGCTGGTGACCCTCAAGTTTTTATCTCCAGCCAAGGCCTTAGGGATGGGTTCATTCCCTACCTAGGAGACATCCCCACATGGAAGACACAAAGTCATCTCAAAATCGAAATACCCAAAAGTGGACTTTCCATCTTTCTTCCAATTCTAGTCCTTCTCCGTCCCTTCTTACCAGTTTAGCAAATCTGAAACCTGGGAGTCAACCTTCCCAGGGTGACTTTCCCTTTCCCTACTGTAAAACCAATCAGTCACTAAGTCCTCTTGATTTTGCATATATGCAGCCCACCTCTCCATCTCCACTGAGCTCACATTAATGATGATCCCCAATGCTTGCTCAGCAGTGTGTAAGTGCCTTATTATACCCATTGTCGTTCTAAATACATACACCTGTGCTATCAGATGGTTATTAGGACTGCCCCTAGTATACATGCTGGGAAACAGGCTAAGAGAAGGTAAACGATTTGCTCAAGGTCCCACAATTGACAGATAGCAGGACTAATTACAAAATCTCACTCAAAATGTCTTAATTACTTCATGACAAAGTACCTTAAACTCTTGCCTTGTAACTGGTTTCTTGTTCTACTCTTGTCTACCTCCAAAATTTTCTCCAGCCTTCAACCAGAAGATGTTTAAAAGTATAAAATCTGATCTTGTTACTCCTTGGCTTAAAACCTGTTAATAGTGTTGGGGTATATTCCTTCTATATCCTATTTGTTGAGAGTTTTTATCATAAAAGGATATTGAATTTTATTGAAGGGTTTTCCACCATCTATTGAAATGATCATATGGCTTTTGTCCTTGCGTGTACGTGTGTGTGTGAAAATGGAAGGCTAATTCTAAAATTTTATGAAAATGAAAAGACTTTATTATTCAGAATAATAAAGATGACCTTGAAGATCAAAGCTGTAGGGCTTACACTCGGTGATTTTTCCAACTTTATTGAGTTTATGGTTGACATATAAAAACTGGATGTGTTTAAGTTGTATAACATGATGACTTGTACATATACATTGTGAAATGATTACCACAATAAAGCTAGGTAATACATCTATCACCTTACATATATATACTTCTGTGTGTATGTATATGTGATGATAACACTTAAGTTTCAATCTCAGCAAATTTCAAGTATACAATATGGATTATTAACTTTAGTCACAATACTATATATTAGATCCACAGAATTTATTCATCTTCTAACTAAAGGTTGAACCTTTTGACCAACATATCCCCATTCCCTCCTCCCCCAAGACCCCATTTTCTCTGCCTCCAACCCATGGCAACCACCATTCACTCTCTACTTCTGATTTCAACCTCTTTAGGTCCCACATGTAAGTCAGATAATACAGTCTTTGTCTTTCTGTATCTGGTTTATTTCACTTTGCATAATGTCCTCCAGGTTCATCCTGCTGTGACTAATGGCAGCAAGGATTCCCTTCCCTTTGTGGATAAACAGAATTCCAGATTCCAGTGTATAATTACACACACGCACACATTCCCTTTATCCATTCAACACAATGGACACTTGGTGGTTTTCATATCTTGGCTATTGTGAATAATGCTATAATGAACATGGGAGTGCAGCTATTTCTTTGAGATATTGATTTCATTTCCTTTGTATATATACCCAGAAATAGGATTGCTGGATCATATAATAGTTCTATTTTTAAGTTTTTGAGGAATCCTTACACGGTTTTCCACAACGGTTGCACCAATTTATTTTCCATTGATAGTGTCCAAATCTTTTTTTTCTATACCCCTACTAAAATTTATCTTTATTTTCCTTTTGATAGGATGGAATCCTTTTCACCCTAACAGGCATGAGATGATATCTCATTGTGGTTTTAATTTGTATTTTCCTGATGATCAATGGTGATGGACATATTTTCATATATCTGTTGGCCTTTTGTATGTCTTCTTTTGAGAACTATCTGTTCAGGTCCTTTGCTTATTTTTTAAATTGGGTAATTAGTTTTTTGACATTGAGTTGTAGGAATTTTAAAATATGTTTT